GCAGAGCGGTGTTCCTTCCCTACGTGAGTCCATAGGGAGCTGTGCCGCCAACAGGTAATGGAATCGCCTGGCGGTTCCTCAGGAGAAAGATGGACAATCGCCTCCCGTCACATTTTCAGCCTCCCTGAAATGAGTCGGTTCCAACCCAACGGCAACCAGCTGGGTGCCAGGTGACCTCCATCCTCGGCCGGAAGTCTGGTGCCCGGAGCCACGGCGCCGTCAGAGCCCGCCCCCTAGTGGACACACAGCATCACTCCCTCGGGCGCCCTCTAGTGATGCTTCGGAGGAAACGCCACAGATCGAGGGGAGGCTGCGGGAAGATGCTGTGCTTCTAAGTGGTTTATAAATCACTCCCAACTCTCTCTGGAAAGTTAACAGCTACGAAGCATTCGCTAATGGGTTTCATGGACATTAAAAGGATCACTGAAGCCAGAAAAGTTGGCAAATTTAGATTTAGACTAAAGGAGAATTTAAAACCAGATCAAACACACCTGCAAGTCAGCCACCCAGAGAGCAAAAAAAGTCAAGAAATGGTTTTTAACTTCAGCCTGAGCTGGCCAAATATGGCCTAGTCTGAGAATACAGTGATCACATATAATGTCTCAAAAACCTCAAAACTTGTGCTCGCTTCGGCAGCACATATACTAAAATTGGAACGATACAGAGAAGATTAGCATGGTCCCTGCGCAAGGATGACACGCAAATTCGTGAAGCGTTCCGTATTTTCGACCCTGAAATTAACCAGTCTGTAACTAAGGCTAACTCCTTTCACCTACAAATTTCGTCTTTGGATACAAAGCTAAGTGGATAGGATAGTTCTTACGGAGGGACTGTTTAAAAAGAGGTAGGGAGAAGAAAAGAAAAAAAAACCCCAAAAAAACCCTCAAAACTCATTGCCACCAAGTGCGCACCGACTCCAGCAGGTTTCTGGAGGCTGTCAGCGCACGAAGGAGCCTGCTCATCTTTCTCCCACGGAGGTGCTGGTGGATTTGTGCCTCTGGGCTAGGAGCACATCTATACGGACTACATCCCCAGAGCTCACGATGCTGCTTGTTGATTGCCGTCGAGGTTGACTAGTAGCAACTCTAAGAAGAAAAGACCTAAGGCCTTTCCACAGCTATCTTGGTTTCTCCAAGTTCATAGAGTTTCCAGAGGCATGTGGTTTAGGAAGTGGATGCCACTCCTGCTTCCAAACCTGTTTCACAACTGGAAGCTCCACTAAACACTGTCCACAATGGGAAACCGTTCTGGTATTTGATACCCCAATGGCACAAGGTTCAGCATCACAGCAAACCCAGGTTACTTCATACAGCACATTGACAAAGAGTGATGAGCAAAGTGGAAGAATGTCACTCCAGACAGAACAGCACTAGTCTCATTCAACAGTGGTTAAGTGTTGTCAAGTCAAATATGACTCAGAGTAAGCTTTGCACAAAAGACCTGAACTCTGTTCTATGATTTACATCATTTTTGTACATTTTTATGAGTGTTTGTAGTTTCATTGAGAAACTCTCTCATGATGGTAGCATGTACAATAAACAAACTCCAGGGGTCTATGGGAAGGAGAACAGGAGGCAGAAGGGAGGGAAGGACACGGGAGAGCGATGGAAGGGGGGGTGTGACAGCAACAGAAAAAAATGACCGTGCCAATTCCACTATAGAAGTTACCACTGTTGCTGGGCTGAGGCTGACCTGGCCACCCTGCTTCGGGTGTTCGTCTGAGGCTGCACCTCTCTCACTGGGAGGAGAATGCCCATCCTTCTCCCACAGAGCAGCCTGGAGACTGGAACCACTGACCAGAGCTCCTTATAAGTTGCTGCTTTGTGGAAACTGGGCAAAACAGCTGACCATTCAGAGGGTTTTCGGAAACAAAGGAGACTGCCCATCCTTCTCTAGGGAAGCAGCGAGGGGATGTGAACCGTATACCTTTGGAACTGCCGCACAGCTTTCTATCACTAGGCCACTGGAGCTCCCCATACAGTGCAGATCAGGCAAGGCAAGGCAAGACGATTTGATGGATGCCAAATCATTAAGCTGTGGGTCACTGAGGACCACGATACTCGTGTGATGGAGAAGGAACCCCCATGAGATTCTGTTAATGACAATGAGTGACTCCCTCAGCCACATGACCACACTTCACATCACTAAGAGCAGGACCACAGGGCAGCAGGGGATCCAGAGCTGGCAGTGACACAGTACCATCGGGTGGATTTCAACTCCCAGTGGCAACCCGACAGGACAGAGCAGAGCCGCTGCACAGGGTTTCTGAGGCTGTCACCTGACGAGCAGACCGCCTTCCCTCTCCCTCAGGGTGACTAGTGGGTTCAAACAGCTGACTTTTCAGTTAGCATTCAACACTTACCATGTGGAGTCACCCACATTCCTTATAAAGCATATACTCATGAGTATTCTGAGTAAAAAACCCAACCAGATTCTAATCAACATACGGAAATAACAAGACAAATGTGATACGTGGACAAGCAATCAGCCAGCCGGCTGACTGTTCCAAAAGTCCTGAAAGAAAAAACAAAACAGAGGAACGAGGAGCTGTTTTTCACTGGAAGGGACTAAGGAGACACAGTCACCACCACAGCGCAGGGTGGGGGTCCTCGTCCTGCCCCGATTTTATACAGAAACCAGCAGCGTGGTAAGAGTCCAGAGTAAGAGCTGCACAGTGAAGTGGGCTGGTGGGGGGAGGGACTGTGTAAGATGAAAGAACATTTTTCCAAAGGAAAAAAGCAAACTGGGGGGGGGGAGGGGTACAGGGAAGAAAATGTGCAACAATGAAGGAATAAATGGCAATCCAAGTTTTTTTATAAACTTACAGTAAAATCTCATTTAAAAAAACCCAACACCCCAGTAGCCATAAAAGGCATCCTTCTGTTAGGGATTTCAGTATGGATGGATTTGAGTATGGATGTTATGATACGAATTTTATTTTGCAGATGTGATAATTGTGCTTTTGCACAGAAAGGGCCTCGAGCTAAGAAGATGCATCTGGAGGGCTCAGGCCACAATGCTGGCCATCTTCTGTCACACAGGCCAACAGGAAAAGAAAAATCTTAGTCCACAGAGAAAACAAACATGGTCACTGTTAGCTGTGGGACCTGCAGGAGGGTACTGACCGGACAGCCACTGGGCATGGTGGGAAATGCTCTCAACACAGAGGGATAAAGCAATCGGCCCTTTGTTAACAACATGCTAGTCTATCCCTCTAGTCTGTATTTCTAATGACAAGGTCCTTTCTGTCCCAAAGCCTGTGAGCAAGTTCTTGGGGGGTCTGCGGTGCTATAAAGTGGACAACACAGTGTACAAGGTATAATAAGTCACTGCCCTGATGGGCTTACGTGTGAAAACAGGGCTAGGTCACTGAAGCAGAAATACTGAAGTAAATTCAGGAATCAGGATCCGATGTTAGGAAAACACACTACCTGGACTGAGGATCCAAGGGGAAAGTGAAAAATGAAACCCTGAACCAGACCACGGCCATCGAGTGGACTTCAGCTACTGCCAAGACAGAGCTGTCTAGAGGGTCCTGAAAGCTGCCGTCTCTCCAGAAGCAGACCCACACACCCCTCTAGAGGAGAGGCTGCTAGGTTTATCTAATCTCTGGCCAGCAGCTGAGTGCTTCAAATACTGCACAGCAGGGGGAGGAAGGCTTCCTGGAGGCAGTGGCCTTACACTGGAGCAGGAGCACATGAGAGGGGAGAGGGGCGACTAGCGGCCTCAAGACCAGGGGTCTTGATTGCCCCACAGTCCATAAGAAACATCTGAAGGCTGGTGAGAGGTCTGGAGAAGGGGCCAGCTCGGTGTCGACAGGATCTTGTTGGATGTCACTGAGCTAGTTCAGACTTCTAGTGCCTCTGTGCGTACAGAGCAGAACTGACCCACAGTTTTCAAGGCTGTGACCACCAGAGAGAAGCAGGTCGCCAGGCCTTTCTTGGGAAGAGCTGCTGGCTGGGTTAGGACTGTCAGCCTTCTGGTTAGTAAGTGATTACTGAACCATCTGTGTCACCCTCTGCTCCTGGAGCAATGTTACAGGAAAGGAATCCTTGTAGCACAGAGGTGTGAGGGGACTCTGAAGGAGTCCAAGGACCAGTGGCCTCGTCATCAAACATTTGCTGGCTCTCCTCCTGGTCTCTGAGAGTCAACCTCAGAGCCGGCACTGACTGCAGTTCCCACACCTGGCCACGTGAGGGCACGTCTGCGTGAACACAAGGTGGCAGAGGGTCAAAGGGCAGCAACCCTAAGTGTCCACTCAGTGTCCTCCTTCCAGCCAGGCCAACTTTACTAAGGGGAGCCAAGACTTCAGGGAATTTGATTGGCAATGGCCAATCAGACCGGAGGCTGCCAACAGTACTGGAATGGGCCCTGTAGTAGTAATGGGACGGTAGCCACTGACGACCGTGGTTCCTGAAGTCATGCTTAAGCATCCAGCTGCTCACCGAAAGGTTGTTGGCATGAACCCACTGCGTGGCTCCATGGGAGAAACTAGCACTTTGCTTCTGTCCAGACTACAGCCAAGGAAGCCCTACAGAGTTCTACCCGTCACACACTCAGGTCACATGGTTGCTACGAGTCAGAAGGGACAGCGGGGGCCCGGAAGCAGATACCTACCCAGGCTGTGGAGCGTCTGAAGCGTCCGGGGCACTGCCATCTCTGAGTGAATGTAACTGGGGACCTGAGTGCTCGGTGTCTGTCCGGGACGCGGCTGGCTGTCCTGACCAGCTACTCACCCTGTGCTGCGTATCTACAGGAGCCATCCTCCACCAGGACATTATAGAAAGGCTGATGGTGGCCATGCGGCAGGCTGTGCACGTTCATGTTCCGGATCCATTCATGTCCCATCATGCAGGTGGGGTCCCAGCCGTAGATGACACAGTTGTAGCCATACCTGGGGGTGAGGGGACAGCAAGGACAAGTCAGGTCCCTCCTGGAGCCCATCAGGCCGCCACGAGACACCAGGCCCCGGCGTGGCTGTTCTTCACATCCTCCTGCCTTGACTCCAGGCTGAGCCATTTGCGGATGGCTCCGATTCCTCACCTCTGGAAATCCCGGTTACCAACAATAGGAGGCTCGGTGGTGCAGCAGTTAAGTGATGGAATGCAAGGTGAAAAGACAGTGGTTTCAACTCAGCAGGGGCTCTGTGCTGTAAAGGTCACGAAGACCTCAGAAGCCCTCTGAGCAGATCTACCCCATCCTAGGGGGTCGCTACGGACCAAGAATGGAATTGATGGTGGTGGGCTTGGTTATGAATTTATCAAAAGAGAAATTAATTTCAAAAAGAAGAAATATAACTGGATAGTGATGGTACAACAATGAGCAACCCAAGTGGGAAAAAGCTCCAAATCCAGTGGTTGTCCAACCGAACACCACACAGAACCAACTCCTACTATAACCAAGACCAAATGCGCAACCGAAAATGCAAAACTCAGAACAGAAGTTCCCCTTGTGACCTGGGATCAGGAAACGGCTCCTAAAATAAAGCACGAAAACCAAAGTCACAAAGGAAAAACTGATCATAATTAAGACATAAAACAAACACATCCATCAAGAAATGAATGGATAGAGAAGCTGTGGTATAGTCACACAATGGAATATTATGCAGCACTGAAAAACAAGCAACTCATGAAATACTATACAAAATGGGTGACCCTGGAGGACATTATGCTGAGTGAAATATCTCAGTCACAAAAAAGGAAATACTGCATAATGCCACTGTTATAAAAGAGGACTTGGGGGTTGGGGGGAACTAAGAAAAGAGGGGATAAATAATGTACACTGCACTGAAACAGATGCGGACTTGTTGCTATGCAGACTAAAACTACTTAAAAGGAATCTATAATTAGATATTATTTGCCTGACAACAGTCCAGAACAAGGCTGCAAATTAAAGTGGAATGGAGTGGGGAAGAGATGGATTGTACAACAATAAAAGAATTTTTTTTTTTCAGAGAAAAGCGAAATGGGCAGCGAGCAGAGAGGAAAATGTATAAGGAATGAATGGAAATCCAAGTTCTCTATAAATTTTCATTAAAATCTCACATCCCAAACCCAAACATAAAGAGAAAAGCTCTTGTGACACATGGTTAAAACAAGAGGCTATGAACAAAAAGGACAGGGGTTCAAAGCCACCAGTGGTTCTAAGGGACACTGTGGCAGGCAGTCTCTTCTGCAGCGAGTGCAGCCCTGGAGACCTGAGGGGGCAGCTCTCTGCCCTACACAGTCAACTGGAGCCTCAGTCCGCTCCACAGCAGTGGGTTTAGTTAATGCAAACATGTGAAAAACTACAGGCAAGACAGGAGACAAGAATGGACTACATACGTGACCAGGTCAAGGAACTGCTTGAGTTTTCGATGAACTAACAGGATGTGACTGTGTATGTAAATATGAAAGAAAAGAGAAAAAGCCCTTAACTTTAGAAACAGGAAGTACGACAGGTGCAGCTGGCCGGACCTCTGGGAGCTGTTATGATCCATTCCCGGAGAGTGGGAGGAGCACACGGTTAGAGATGTAGCAAGGCTGACCTGTGACCTAAGGCGGTGAGACTTGAAGATGGAAGATGGGAACCACTTGTGGTTCACTGCACTCACATCTCTTTACCTCACCTGTCTGAAAGTTTCCTCAATAAAGTTAAAGGAGACCAACAGAAGATAAGAGAGTCAAAATCAGCAGGAGACTGGGAGATGTTTGCCGTCACATTCACACGGGCTGCCTCCAGAGAACAGACGACTACAAAGCAACGAGGAACGCAGCAAGAGAACAAACAGAAGTTTTCCAAGATGCTTGACCAAGATGCATGCGGACGGCCGGCAAGCACAAGAACCCCAACCTCCACGCTCATCAGGGAGACGCCATTGCTAACTGCCACGTGGGATTCACATCACGCACATTTTTAAAGGTCTGGTGGTTAAGAGATGTTGGCAAGAAGGAGGACTCGTGAGCATCTGGCCCATAGGTAGGTTAATCAGAGCTGTAACTTTGGAAAGGGCTCAATCTGGCCTAGCAAACTCACCATGTGTTTATCCCAACACCTAGCACAGCCCTAACCCACAGCTCAGTCCCACGGGTGGAAGGAAGGAGAAAGATTGTGATGAAACCCCTGTTTACAGAGTCAAGTCCCACCTTCACGCACAGGAAACATTAGACGATTGTTCAGCTCGGGAAGTGAGCTGCTTAAGAACAGAAGGACGGAGTCACTTCTTCACGAGGGGCCTCCACCGCGGAGCGTGGCATGCTGGCTTCAGGGCGTCTGCACCGGACGTCGTGGGCGGTGGACGAGTGCACTCACCTCTTATGCTTCATAATGAGCCCAATGGAGTAGCAGACATCCCTGTGTTTCTCGTCGGACCTGGTCTTCACCTCCACGCCTACCTCCTCCTTTTTGCGCTCAATGTGCTCCAGCGTGTGCTGGACCAGGTAGCCCACCGCCCCGTGCTGCCCGGGGTCGAGGGTCTGGATGTGCTGGAGTATGTCAAGCACCTTCAAGACAAGACAGAAAGACTAGGAGATAATATTTTCAGCTAGGCCTTTTCTTTTTTGCAGCTGGTGATTTAGGCCTACATAACCTGACCCGGGGTGGCGGGGCGACCATGCTCGGAAAAGCCAGTGGGCAAGGGCAACTCAAGTCTGTGATCTAACTTGCCAGTTGATGCCACAGAGGCCTGGGGTCCTGGGCCCACGTCTAGACCTGGAAATGGACCAGAACATCTAATGTCAACCCCTGAGGACGAAGGAATGCTCTAGAAATGACCTGGATGCCGGAAGGAGAAGGCGAGGGCTTCTATCTGCCAGTACTTCTGGGTTAGGAGAACTCGCCAGGGATCTAGGCATTAAGAACCGTGGGAGTCTTTTTTTAAATTTTTTTTTTTTATTTTTTGAGTCTTGTCTTTTTTAAAACATAGCAACTGTTTTAATGTGCTAATCATGAATTGGAAGGAAAAACAAATGCAAAGCTGCTTCATGAAAGATCAACTGAAGGTGCTGACGGGTGGCTTAGTGAAGGAGGCGGCCTGAGACCATGGCCATGGGCGCAGCGCGGCCCCCAGGCAGCAGCGAGGCCAGCATGTGGGCGCTGAGAGGCCGCGGCTCGTGTAGGCGATCTGAACGTTCAGGGAGCCCAGCGGCAGGGGAACATGCTGGGGGGGACCTCAGTCACTGGCTGGCAGGGCAGCCTGTCAGCATGGATAGACTGTTTCTAAGGTGTATGCTGCCTCCACAGAAAACTAACCATGCAAGCAGTAAACATGAGAAGAGCCACGTATTTACTGAGCTCCTGTAAGGAACCCACAAACCAACGGTTAACTGTTCCTAATAGAAAGGTTGGCAATTCGAACCCGCCCAGTGCTCCCGTAAAGATCTGTCTAGAAAACTTGACAGGGCAGTTCTGCCAAATCACATGGGGTGGCCAGGAACTGACCCATCAGCACCTGACAAGGATGTGCAGTGCTCAGCGGAGGGTCTCCGGCAGGTGCCCGCCCTGGAAACATGACCTCATCCTAGTCACCAAGCAGAAAACGGAATGTTTGCCTGATAAAGGCACCTGCCTCGAGGGCCAGAGCTGTCTAACCAAGTATTTTTCCTTCTGAGTCAGCTTCTTCCTTATGAAATGGTGATGATTAGTAACAGCCCTACCTGTGAAGGTGGCGAAAATATATTTCAGCAATGCAAAGACAGTATTCTGCTAAAGTAAAAAAATAACAAGAGTAGCCAATCTCTGACCCCTCCTCTAGTGATACAATTTTGAGTGATAGGAACATAAAATTCTCTAACTAAATGATATCTTTTGAAGCCAAAAGCCTTGTGTTTAAACAATAACCTCCTATTAACTAAGTCTGGAAAATACACAGCTCTGATCCAACTATAACTGGTTACTTTCCCCACAGCCTTACCCCAGCCCAGGGATACAGCTACCCTCCTTCTCCATCATCCCACCAGAGAAGTAAAATAGGTACAATCTAGTCTTCAAAGCACAGAGGAGACCTTGAGCTCAAAGGCTCAAAGGAGAGAGAAGGTTAAGGGAGACAGAACGCCCTCCTGGTGAGGAGGGAGGGCAGACACAGAGGGTGCAGGGAGGTGGGCGCCATGCTGCCTCCGAGATGAGATCTGACTCTTAAGGCCTAGATCTGAGTGTCCACAACCCCGGAGGCAGAGACCTCAGAACATGGGGTCCCCATGATGCCCTTCACTGGGCTGCTTTTCTTCCAGCCCAGGCATTAGCATACTTTCTCTATAAAGATCCAGGGTGAACACTGCTGCACTATCCCCCTCTTGACTCAACTATTCAACTATGACAGTAGCTCAAAGAATAAGAGATTTGCAAACAAATGAGCAAGCACCACTCTAACCAAAATGCATAAATAAAACCAGGTGCCTCTTGGGCTGCAGACCTTCGATTATCAGCTCTGCTCTGGCCTCTGAGTCACAGGTGTGCCCTGAGGCTCTGTAAACACTTAGAGCCACCGCTTCTACTTCAGCTAGCAGGTCTGAGGCTGGGGAGACACTGCCAGAGGCCACAGTACCTGGGAGACAGACAAGACAGACAGACAGACACACACACACACACGACAGACAGACGGAGACACTGCCAGAGGCCACAGTACCTGGGAGAGAGACACACACACACACACACACACACACACACACACGACAGACAGACGGAGACACTGCCAGAGGCCACAGTACCTGGGAGAGATACACACACACACACACACACACACTCTCTCTCTCACACACACACGACAGACAGACGGACGGACTCCAGGTCACAAGCTCAGCACCTTCACAATGAGCACTGCTGTTCCTGAAACAGCCCTGTCTCCATATTGCACCAGAAGAGTCGATGTGGTCTCTTGATGGGAAACATCAACAGCCTCTTTGCACCTTTTCCCTTAGCTGTATCGAACACTTAGCTGTATCTGACAAAGTTGTTATTTCTTACTTATACATATATTAAAAAAAGAAATATGAACCCCTACTGTGTGGCAGGAATTGTGCCAGGGATTATGGGGAATGGCCACAATAGAGAACCAACCAGAGGTTGGCTCTGTCCTGAAGGGGCACGTGTCCAGTGAGACAGAGGTCAGACACGCAGAGGCAACATTCTCAAAGAGACAGGGAAACACTGCGCAGCTGGAGACCCTCGCCCAGTGTGCATGCGGGGCCCGGGGAAGGGTGCTGAGGAGACGGAAGTAGAAGAGGGATGGCGTGGAGAATGAGCTGCAGCAGGGTCAAAGGGTGGATGTGGACAGGAGATGTGGCTGCAGCCGCAGAGGCACAAAGTGGCTGACTAGGATGAGGAGGAGGGCAGGGCAGGCAGGAGAGCACCAAAAGGCTAGACTGCTGTGCCTGAGAGCAGAAGCCTGGTTACAAGGCAGAAGGGGAGCAATCCAGGGCCGCCTGCCTTTAGCAGCATAACGAGACGGCACTAGTGAGAGGCCCGTGACTGCAGTGGATACAGTGGACACATGTGGTCTGCGGGAAGGAGACCAAGAGGAGGCCTATGCCACCACTGATGCTAGAGAAGTGCTGTTCCATGCGCTGAGCCTTGGGTCCCTGAGAGACACAGCCATGTGGTGGAGACGTGTAGGAGCCACGGGCTTGATGTGGGAGCCACACGCCAGACGGGCCTTGAACCCAGGTCCAGGTGAGAGATCAAAGATCTGGGAGATACGATGGACAGATGGCCACAGACCGAGCAGCACAGATGAGCTCACGATGGGGAAGACACGGAATAAAGAGGTCTAGAAGGTGCCCCACATTCTCAAGTCCCTACAGGGCAGACGAGGCTCCTGCTAGACTGTGAGAATAAGAGGCCAGGGCAGGGGGAAGTGCTCTGTGGAAGGAATGGTCCATCATGGTAGGCGACATCAGGAAGAAATGACACTCAATTTGGCAACAAGGAGAATGGCTTTAAAAGCACCAGGCATCACTGGTGTCTCATTAATCTATGCCAGGGACGGGTGGGGAGGAGGGACAGGACTGCAGTGTCCCTGGACAAGTGTGGGTGGCAGGGAGGACGGGACAGTCCTCACCATGGACAGTGTGGGAGATGTGAACTGTGAGGGGTGGGAGACGGTAAGGGGGAGCTGCAGGGGAGAGTGGGGAAGGGAGTCATGGGAGTGCTGCTGGGTTTTCATTCCCAAAGATGGGAGAGACTGGGGCGTGTTCAAGGCTGGTGCCAAGACAACAGAAACAGGAAGCTGGGGACCCTGGAGGAGGAAGGGGAGGTTCTGAAGCCCAATACCAGTCCAACCAAGGGTTAGATCCAGAGCATAGGGGAGAGGCAGGCTTGCCCTGGAAAATAAGAGGGGTCCCTTTCCCACTAAAACAGGGCCAGGCTCATGATGGGAGCTGAGGAGGAGACATCCTCTCTGGCCTGGGGTCGACCTGCCTCAGCTGAACTACCAGCAGCATCACCTACAAATGCGAGCCCTGGGCAAGGCAGCCAACCTCCACGCATTGCAAAAATTCCCTCAACAAACCAAAAACTACAAAGGTGACAGGGCTTCGTGAAAAAAAAAAAAAAAAGCCCTTTTTTGGGGGGTACCAAAAAAAACCAAAGAAAATGGGCTGTGAGAACGCACCACTAAATCCCAGACCACAGAGTTTTACTTAGCTGACCACGGTCAGCAGACCAGCTCTCCAGTTCTGCTCTGACCAAACCCCACCCATTCTGGGAAGACTCTCACTTTCTAGGCTACTTCTCACAGCTCTTTTGGAGAAAGGAACCGAGGGATTCTCCCCCAGATGCCTCCCTTCTCAGAGCTATTTTCACTCTTTGAAGTTGTGAATTAATGAGACGATTTAAAGCCAATCAGTGCAGAGCCATTCTGAATATTTACTTTGTTGAGGAAGATGTTACCACTCACTAATCACACGGGCAGATGATTTTATGGGAACATCCCCGAGAACTCGGGACTCAATTCTCTCTCCACGCTGCTCTGAACAAACCCAATGATTAGCCGGCTCTTGGAGGGGAGAAGGGCGGGCAGTGAATGCAGCTGGCCAAGCAGAGCCTCCCCCACAGCTGTGTGCACACATCTGTTGTGTCCCCAGCCCACTGAGTGTAGGAATAGAGCCTTCAGTAAATCCCCACTGCGGGCCAAGGGCCTCACTGTTCACAGCCACAGCCAAACAGAAGAGTCACACAATTCCGAAGTTTCCAAAAACACACAAGACTTTCACTAGAGCTGCAGCTGGACCTGAACACGTGGAGTCTTATGTATGTATTCTCTATTCTGTTTGATCACCTCCGTCGCTAACAACATGGCTGGAAGTGGAATACTCTAAACTATATTCTAAGTGAGGGTGACTCAGGCAAAACATCTTCAGGGCATGAGCAGGTGAGGGCGGGGAGAGGCCATGTCTTTCTGGTTCTGGGATGTTCTAGGGACCTGGCAGAACGAGAACAGACAGTGGTTGGCAGACTCACCAATTCTCATCAAAGAAGGCAAAGGGGGGAAAAAAGTGATTGATGGGTGAAAACTGGGAGGCTTGAATATCCCGGGGTTCATTCTGTGTGAGGTGGCCACTTTATGGTCTGGCAACAGTCTGATTTCTCTCTCTGAGGAAAGTGGGGAGCATCAAAGTAAGATAATTACCTTTTCTGGCCAGATGCCCAGGTGGAAGTAGAGCCTGGCTTGGAGGAGGAGCAGCTGTACCTGGTCCGGGTACATTGCCAGGTACAGGTCCAGCGAGTCTCTCAGGAGCTGGTAGGACTGATCGATGCCTTCCCTAGCGGGCGAGAGCAGCCTTGGTGTCAGCTGCAAGCATTTCAGCCAAAGACCTTTGCCTTCAAGGCCCAAATTACCAAAATCATTGACATGGATTCCCAAAGTTCAGAGTCCAACACGTTCTCTAAGATCCTTGTTCAAGAACCAAAGCAAATACCCAGTATTTGTACCCGACCTGGGGAAGGTGGCTAAGTGGAAACCTTTCCTTAGCAGTGGCTCTACAACACTGAGCAGAACGTGGACGTGGGACCACCGCTGTGGAGCTGAGCCAGCTGGGGCCTCTCACCCAGCTGGCAGCGCTCTGCTTCAACGGCCATCGTGTCCACAATCGTGCATTAACTCCCTCTTCCCACCTCTGCCTTCCGTGTCTAGCAGAGCCCTGCATTCCTCCAACGGTGGGCTGCTTTCCATGTTTACTTGGCACTGCCCAGCTTTATCATTCCTCAGCAAAAACCTTGGGTTTTTTAAAAAAGGAAATGCTGACAGTTAAAAACCCATTACTGCAATTGCTAGAAATCTTTCTATTCCCTCTCGGAGCAAACTTCACTGGACTCAGAAACAAGACAGCTGGGGGATTTCTAGGGTTTGTTTGTGTCAAAGGTATGAATGAAGAACAGAAACACTGCACGTGAGGATGCCCTGCCCCTGAACAAATCTCCCTGCTGGCCTATGAGATCTATGTCAGCGCTGAGACCCTGTCCTAGGCCGCTGCAGAGACAGATTGTGAAATGAGAGCCACGTGGTCCATGGCATGGCTGTACAAGGCACGATGCCCGGGGAACCACTCTTCCCCTGCTGTGTAGATCGCTGTGGACAGCCTTACTGTAGACCACCTCGCTGTGGACAGCCTGGCTGTGGACAGTCTGGTCGTGGACTGCCTATGCTGACTGCAGGGTCAGGATGGAGCGCTCACCGCTTTCCCAGGCTCAGCAGGTTCCCCACCATCCGCTGCAGCACCTTCTTCACGTTGACCACACCGTACAGGGCTGCCGTCACGTGCTGGCCGATCAAGTATTCGCATTCTTTCACAGTCAGCTGCTTGCCTTTCCCAAAAGCATCAATATAGATGTAGTCGAAGATGTCCAGGGTCACCCTGGCCACAGAGCACATTCAGTTAGGCAAACTTCAGGGCACAGCAGACAAGTCAGGCTTTTCAAAGCCTCCAGCCGGCAGCTCGGATCAAAGGCTCTTAAAACAGTGACATTGCTATGTAAGCTAAAGAGGCCGGGTCCACACGCTTTGCTGTGGAAAAGACCGCAGTCCACAAATATCTGAGAGAGTGTGCTGGTATGTAGCAGCACCTTCCCAGATACTTGTCATGGAACGTCTGCGGTGGTCATAGGTCCACAGACCGACAGGAGGGCCCCCCAGGCAGCCCAAGCTGAAGGGCTCTGCACTCGGTGTACACACATGCTCAGCTTACATGGCCCCCACTGGGTCCATCTGTGGACAAGGGTTAAGAGCCCTGCTCTAGCCCACAGAAGGACTGTGCGCCTGGACTCTGCCCTCTGCTCTTCAGCAAAAGGCAACTGTGATCCAGACCCGCACACATCAAGGCTGGCTGTGCCTAATGTGGCAGTGAGGAGAGGTCACGGAAAGAAAGTGCTCACTAAGCCAGGTGCGCTCTGCCCAGGCAGGAGGACGGGCTAGGGGGCAGTGTGCTGGTCTCCGTTTCAGGGCAGCCATGTCTCCTTTGAGTAACTGTTTTACTTTGATCTTAAATTTACAGCAAGGTAACAAAAAACTCTCTCATGCCCCCAAAATCTCACAAAACCCTCAGATTACATATTTAGGTCTCATCTATAGCTGACCTTTAATAAGAGTTAAGACGTATGGAAATAGTCCTAGAAGCAAAGAATGTTCTTTAACTCTTTTTATAAGGCTAACATAATCATCTAAGAATACTTTTAAAAAATACAGGCCACATGACAGCACTTCCCACCACCACCACCACCACTTATGAGTGCAATATAAATTCTAAATCACATGTTAGAGGATATGTATGTGTGCGCACACATACACACATACATAAATAAATTGCATGTATATAATTTGGACATTGACAAAAATCGTAAGAGTCAAAGAAAAGCAATGATCAATACACAAATCTAGAAGATAAAAAATGTTATTAGTAAAATGAAGCAAACTAGGAATTTGGAGAGAAGCTCTGATAACTTTGGTGAGAAGTACTGACCCAATTACCATGTTTCACAGAAAAAGGTAAAAATCAAAACAGAAAACCAAAACAACCAAAGAGCCTGCATACAGTCATAAGGATTGACTCAGTGACTGGGGCAATGGGGGTAGGTGTGGCAGAGACAGTAAGACGGGCACAGGAAAGAGCAGGGTTTAGGGCTGTTGTCCGAGGGTCACTATGAGTTGCAGGCGACACGATGGTATGTAACAGTAACAACTGTCTGAAATCACACACAAGACAGACATGGGCGCCCGTCAGCATGGTTTGCATTCACCTATGCATAAGGGAACCTAACCAGCAGAGTAAGACAAAAAACCAAACCAAAACAAAACAAACCCCTTAAGAAACAGAAAATTAAGACAAGCAAAATCATTACTGTTCTTGTGGTGGTTGCTGTTCGGTGCCATCAAGTATAGTTCACAACGACCTTATGCACATGGGTCAGGACAGAAGGACAGAAGGCAGTCCTGTCCTGGGCCATCCTCACGGTCTCTGACACACGTGAACCCACTGCCACTGCGTCAATCCATCTCACTGAGGGTCGTCACCTGTTTTTCTGACCCTCCACACCCAAAAGCCAGGAGCAATCAGCCAACAGTGTATTCAGAAGAGGTGCTGCCAAACCTCTACTGAAATGGACATGACTCCATCAGTATGTAGAAAATCTAACTTTTTAAAAAAATTTTGTTTTATTTCATTATTATTTGTGTGTACCGTCAAATCAGACCTGACTGGTACAGGAGATCGTTCCTCCTTCTCCAGCAGAGCATCTGGTGGATTCGAACCACGCACCTCTGAGATTGCAGTGCAGCTTCTTGCCACTAGGCTACCCGAGCTTGCCAGAAAATCTAACCTTAAAAATTATTTTTTTCAGCAGCAACAAAAAATTTAAGGTCCCTAGGAATCCATCTGGACATCAAAGTGAGCTGGCTTCCTCCCTGCACGTGCTCTGCATGTGGGACAGTGAGACTGTGTGTGAGGGGGATTGTTTATCAGAAAATGGAAACCTCAGGTCTTAAGAGTTCTTTATCTGCTCTGCTTTGAAACAAAGGGAGCTTTGCTAGAAGATGTGACTGTTTTTCACATAAACTTTCTGAGGTAATTGTAGACTCACATGTAGCTGTAAGAAAAAACACAGGAATGTGCTATAAACTCTTCATTCAGTATTCTCCAATGTTAACATCTTGTAAAACTACAGTGTAATTCCCCAGCCAGGATGCTGGTATTAACAGTCAAGGTAAGAGGACGTTCCACTGCCGCTCAGTCCCACTCTGAGCCTGTCTGGCTACAACTATTGCATTTTCATGTATGTTTTTCTGTGCGATACTCTCTCATGTCTGTTTCCCATGCGCGCCTATGGACGTGTATTTGCAAGCACACATTATTAACAAGGGCATGTTATGTATGGGAAAGATCCAGTAATTGAATTCTGAAAGCCGCCTTCCTGTCAGCACAGTGTGGGGAGAATCCGAGTGTGGTCATGACACACTTACCCTTCTGCACCCTGGCACCATCTCAGTAAGAAGTGACTCGGGAAGTTGACAGGTTCCAGGGGGACGCCCAGCTGCCGGGCGATGGTCAGATAGAGCAGAGACATGCTGATTGGGATTCCTGTTCTGCGGATCAAAACCTAAAGAAAAGAAAAAGGTTTTGGGTTGGCTGAGCTAAGCTGCACATGACCTGGTTTTTGACACGTCTCACGGGCATCCAGGCATCTTTACACCGTGGCAGGCATGAGGCTCAGCCCTCAGGGAGAAAGAGACCCATCATGTGTTTTAGTTTAGTCTTTGTAAGAAGACAGCAATGAAAAGATTAATATTTGGTGACACATGGGGGTGACAGGAAACTCCCATTTCAGTGCCCATTTATAGCATTTTGTTGGCTCACAGCCTCGCTCACTTATGGTCAGCGCTTCTTTCACAATACAACTGCCTGGTTACAGAGAAATGTTACTCTCTGGGCTTTTACAGAGTTAGGCACTTCATCAGTCCCTGGATGCCCTGACAGCAGAGTGTGCAACATGTCCGGTTACTAACAGAAAGGTTGGTGGTTTGAAACCACTAGCTGCAACATGGGGAAAATAACGGATGGTTTCCTCCCATAAAGTCTTGCAGGCTGGGAAATGGAAATTGGATAGTTTCTAGAACCAGTACAAGTCAAACCTGCCTCATCTCACAGCATATTGTGTGCGACAAATGAACCATCCAGATATGAAAGATATGACACGGCATGTGCCCTCAAGATAATACACACTCTGCTAGAGAGAAGCTTAGAAATAGACAGTGAGACTGCAAAAGATGAAGCTGTGTAAGTCAGAAACTGGGCAGAGAAGGAAAATGCAAACACCTTCCTTTAACAGAAAGTCAAAGGAGGATTATCCTCGAGTAGGAAAAACAAGGCAGTCTGTGAGTTCTGGTTCTTAAGCATCACTGTATAAACACTCATTCAGCCAATGATCTTAGTATTAACACGTGTGAACACAGAAAGGGTTAAAACTTTATAACAAAGAGCACAGAGTCTATTTTATCTCCCTCTTGCTAACAACCTTAAGAAAAAGCTGACACGTGCCTACAACATGCACTTTACCACAATTTAATTGGGTAAAAAATTACCTTTTGCTTCCATGTCTTTGGACAGAGTCCTATGTATATTCTATGCAAGTAACTCATTGCCAGCAAGTTGGAACCAACTCATAGCTGACCCTCCACTGAGCTGCTGAGGCTGTAATCGGAGGAGACTGCCCATCTTTCTTCCACAGAGCTGCTGGTGGAACTGAACTGTCAGAGGCACCACCTTTGGACTAGCAGCTCACCTGCCTCTGGACTAGGCCACCAGAGCTCCCGCTGCCGTGTTCACAAACGCTGTACACGGCAGGTGAACGCCACTCCTCTGTCCTGGATTCTCAAGGGATGTGCTTTACCCTCATGCTCAGGACACTGCCGTTTACCTGGTGCATATATAAGTTGAGGGCATTATAGTAATCCATCCGATTGCCCTTGAACTTCAGCTGATCGTAAAGGACGTAGTTGATGGCGTCCAGGACCTGGCTCTGGAGTTCGATTTCCATGATCATAGAGGATTCGCCTGGAACACAAAGGTCTCCTCTGAGGACACAAGCACACGGAAGGGCCTGACCAAACCTCCCGCCTGTGCAGACCCCCAGCTTCCTACCACCCCCAGGAAGCTGGAGAAGAGAGAACATGTGTTTATATCATCTATGGAAGGTGGTTAAGCCATTATTCTCTTTTTTAAATGACATACACAGGACAATATTACAGAATTCCCCAAATCGACCAACTACTTCCTTTAGCTAGAGCTGGATCCCTAAGCCATTCCACACCTGCCTTGAAGGCCAAGCTGGGGTGGCGGCCGTTTATGCTGCGGAGGGTTTTGCAAACCAGCTCTACGATGCTGTCAATCTGGGCCTGGATGTCTTTGAGGCTGATGTCGGAGAGAGGGTTGCAATACTGGTCAATATACACGGCACCTAAAAATGAACACACAGCAGCAAGTAGAAAATAGATTTGTCTGCTTTGTTCTTAACGTTCTACCGTCTTACTGCAGATGTCCTGGTCCACTGCTCTTTATAGAATCCCATTAGAAAGAGGCTCAAATCTCTAGTGCAAGTCATCCTGCCAACACGCTGAGAATAACAAGAAGAATTTTTTACAATCAACAAATGTCCATCTCTCTCTGAAAAAAAGAAAAATTAAATCCAAAGTTCTGGACTCAAGACACATCATGATCCCTGGCAGAGTCACACGCTGTTACAAGAAGAAACAAGTGCTGTGATCTTTGCAAGCGACATTACTTGCCCTGTAACTCTGAAGAGTTCACATTTTAACATTTCCAAGTACGTGATGGTGGAATACCATTTAAGTAGCTGAAACTGCTCAAGGTCAAGACATGCCATTTTAACAAATGCCACAGCTCAAGGGTGAAACAGTAAGTGGATGTGAGACATAGTCCAACTCTGAAAGCAGATGAGCAGCTCCGTTCAGCAACCTGCAGCTCAGAGGACATACAGAGCTGAATGGAGACATTTCATAAAGACAATCACCACTCTACCCAGCACTGAGTAATTTCAACACCAGTTTCACCACTTGGAGCCATGTTTCCTCATCTGTCCCAGTACCAGCTGCCATCAAGTCCATTCTAACCTGAACCCCTCGGTATGAGATTAGAACTGAAGGCCATGGGGCTGTCAACTGCTGGTTTCTCAGAAGCAGACTGCCAGCCCCTTCTTCCAATGTATCTCTTGGTGGACACAAGCCACTAATTTTCCAGTTAGCGAGCAAGCAAATGAACCATTTGGGAAGCACTGAGGGAACCTGGGGTGCACTTCTCTGGAGCCGACTCCCCGCTAATGCTATGATTCCTGTCACCAAGAATGAAAACTTTGGAGCTCGCTCTCACCTACTCAACTACTAACCTTCAATGGTTTCTTGATGTCTAATGGACCCAACTGGATGGGTTATTTGAAAATGATAATACAACTGTTTGGAAAAGGGAAAAAGTACAAGTTTTCATTAAACAAGTTATAGATAATGCAGTTTTTTAAACTATTCTTGATCTGAATTAAGATATGGTATAGTAAATCTCAATTCTAGCATGCAAATGAGGATTCCAGGGTGGGAGGATACCTGCTTTTAGTAAACTGAAGTCCCTGACCCACTTCATTTTGGAGGACATGAGACACATCCCACTGACAAAGCTCTGCAACGGCTACTGAGATAAACTGCCATGATTATTACGCCAGGTCTCTGCACACAATAAGCAGTGACCAGTGAAGAGACGCAAAAGGTCCCCATGAAACAGAGATGACACAAGGCAGGCGGTTGGGCGTGGGGCAGGAGGCTACCCTGCCTATGATAGATACACTCTGGCAATAGCTCTGAAGCCAGGTGGGGCTGTCAGTGAAGACAGAACCCAAGTGGGACCTGAGCTGAACTTGAGAAAGTGAGGAAGACAGTGAAAAGACATAGCAGACGCCTACTGCAAACGAGAATGCACGCAAGCAGGGTTATCTAGGGCTCCAGGAAGAATGATGACCTGGCTACAGCAAAAGGAACATCCTGGAGAATAATGAGGAGAGGGAGGAGCTCTGCACTCTGTTAACAGAAAGGTTGGTAGTTCAAAGCCAGCTGGGTTCCACACGGACCCTCCCCGAGTGCTGGCTGGCCTGCAGGGTGGTCACCACGGGCTGTGCTCACGAGGAGTTGGGGCAGGGAGAAGTGGGAAAGCAGGAACAGAACGAGGACATGACCATCAGAGATGATGAGATGATAAAAGTCAACCAGTTTAGACAATCACGGGGCAAAGGAGGAAAGGGACTGAAACGGTCACACCCTTACTTCAAAACAAGAATTTATGGGAGTGTTATTGTAACAGCAGAAGAGTCAAGAACTGAAGGAAAAAAGAAGACACATTTTGCTCCTATTCCACTTCACAGGAACAAAAAGCTGTTCCTTTCATCATACCTGCCTGCTCAACTTCTTCCTACTTCCTGTTATGCGTGAGCAGACTCACTGAGGTTCAAGAACATTTGGTCCTTATTAATCTTGAGCCCAAAGCAGTGAAGGGATTTGTTCAAGGTTAGGTGGAGACAGAACTGGATACGCTTCTTTCTGGCTTGAAAATGGTGCTTTGAAGCTTAGAAAAACGTCGACTTAATCTCATTAGGGGAAATAGCAGTCTTACATGCTCTGGACCAGTGAAGTATCTTGAGAAAACTTCCTGGGCCCCTCAACGAAGAGACCGCTACAACAATTGCAACAAATGGGCCAAACACACCAAAAACTGTGAAAACAGCACAGGAAAGCACTGCTTTCTGCTATACATGAGGTCATAATGAATTGGAGCAATGACACTTGAAAATAACTAACTAAACCCCCCCAAAATGAGAGCCAGAACACAAACAGAAGCATGCACACGGGTGTGTATCACAGCATTATTCACAACAACAAAGCGATGCAAGCAGCCCAAGTGCACACGGACAACTGAACGGATAAACTACGGTACACTCACACAGTGGAGTATTATGTAGCATTGGAAAAACACAGTATGGATGAGTCTGGAAGACATTACGCTGAATGACACATCCCAAAAGGACAAATACTGCATAAGCCCGCCCAATGTATAAGAGGATCAATGGGGAAATTTGGGGAGAGATAGAAGAGAATGAGCAGATAATGAACAATGCACTGCAACGGGGGGCAGGAAGGACAATCTGAAAGACTGGACTATTAATAGTCTGGAACATGATGAGGGAATTGAGGGAAAGAGAAGGATGAATAAATGAATGAAAACCAATCTCTTTGTGAATCTTCACTAAAAAGAAAAAAAGAAAAACAGCAACAAGAACAAGATTTTGAGAAAATCCTAGTTTAGAATTTAACATACTATGTAATTCTACTTCCAGAAATCCCTGGAGTATAGCTTTCTCCTCTTTGCTTTACCACCAGCAAGAGTTTCCAATACTAATAAGACTATTCAGCTATCTATAAAAATAGTGATCTTTAGCGTTGCTGGCCTAGTGGTAAGGAGCTGAGCTGAAGCCAGGTGGTACGAAGCCACCTGCTGCTCGAGGGAGAAAGGTGTGCAGTCTCCTGAGCAATTTACAGCTTCTGAAAATCTGCTGCACGGTCAGCTATGAGTCAGTTCCAACTCGAGGGTATAAACAACAGTATGTCCAAGAAAGACTCACCTTCAAGATACGATTCGTAGTCATCAGGCTGCTGAAGAAAAGCCTTAAGATTATTTAAAATCTTTTGTTGGCGTAGGTAGTATAGAATTTTCTTTGCATAGTATTTCCAAGTCAAAGCTTTTCTACAAAGGAAAAAGAAACAGTGAAATACACAAATCACCAAGAACGAAGATTTAGAAATTCTCAATTATCTTTTGAAACACACTTTTTATATCAATAATTCCTGGTAAAGGTCTACTCAGTGAGAAAACCAGACACGAACATGCAGTGTTTAATATTAAACGGTACCATTTAACACTAAGCATTTATAATGTAGCACTAAACTAGCTGTACTGAAATGTGAGAAACCATTACCTGCCTGGGCTCAGATCTACTTTCCCTGGGAGAAGAACTAAGTGCTTAAATCAATGCTCTTGGTGTCACAATAGTTAAGCACTCATCTGCTCACCAGAGAGTTGGCGGTTCAAACCCACCAGCTGCTTTGGGAGAAAGATGGAACAGTCTTACAGATAAAGATATTACAGCCTCGAGCAGACACCCCAGGGGGCAAGCTCTCCTGTTAAACCTGGGTTTTCTAAGAGACTGAACTGACTCCAGGCACACAACAAAATATGAGCAGGTAAGGAGCCCTGGAGATAGAGTGGCTGACTGCTTGGCTGCTCACTGAAAGGTTGAGCCCATCAGCTATTCGGTGGGAGAAAAGCCCTCGTGACTTGATTTCATGACAATTTACAGCGCCAGCAAGCCCAGCGGGCAGTTGTACTCTGCTACACCACAGTAAGACTCTGACAGCAACAGGTCTGGCTGGGGTTTGGTGAAAGGGAATGAAGGTGAAGAGCTGGGACATTAGAGACGGTGGGGAGGTGGTGCTCCTTGCTCCCATTCTTCCCTCCTCCTGTATTCTCTGCTGTGCTCATCTCATCTACTCTCATGGTTTCAGGTAGTATCTATCAAGAAAGCGCTATCCACTTCCCAGACCAGAGTCTCCCTGTTTCCGGCCCTGCACAGCCAACTTCTCCTCGCATCCCACCTGGACATCCGGGAACACCTTTCTATCTCCCTTCTCCACCGTCGATCCCATCTCGAATCAAGGCAACTCTTCATTGTTCAAATTAGGTCCACACCTGGGAACCAGCTTTGACTCCCTGCTGTCCCTCAGAATCCGTAACCGTCAGTCAATCCCATTAATTTTATCTTCAACACACATGCCTCAAAGCCACCATCATCTACTGTCTGACAGCAACGTCCTTCCTCACTGGGATTCCTGCCTCTGGCCTGGACCCTCTGCAGTCTAGACCCAATACGGTGGTCAGAGTGAGCCTGTTAAAAGGTTTAGGCCAGGTGACAATTCTCTTCTGCTTCAAATTCTCCAATGGTTTCCACTTGATAAAAGGCCCAAGGCCTAAAGATGGACTCTAAAAGGCCCCTGAAACGCTCACCCCATCGCCTCCCTCACCTCAATTCTCATCCCTCCCAGCACCCTCTGGCTTCCCTGCTGTTCTGTCAACACCGCTGGCTGATGGCTCACTTCTGTCTTCACACTGTTCCCTCTGCCTGGAACAGAGGACCCTCTCCCTGGAGATGTGCAGTCGATTACCTCACTCCCCTCCTTTCAGGTCTGTCAATCTGAGTAAGGACCTCATCTCACATTCAAAATCACAACCACTCCTCTGTCCCTTGATTACTACTTTGCAGTATTATTTATCATTTCCCAGCATACTACACCACATACTCTAGTAGATTTAACACTCATCTCCACAGAATGTATGGCTCCACGGGGAGGGGGAAGGGTTTTCTGTCTTGTTCACTGCTGTATCCCAGGGAACAATACGTGGTCCATAACAGGGGCTCAATAAATACTTGTTAAGATCAATGACATCTTTTCCTAACGGTGCTAAAGCCTCACAGGGATGATGGGAAATCGGAGGAACAGAGAGTAACCATTGATCAGGTTGACTCCATAAAGGAACCAAGACTGCATTTTCCCGAACTGCTCTGACTCCTTTTCAAGAGTTGAGTCGTCAAATACACGCATCTAGGAAACAGCATGAAACAAATGAACAGCTTAATCAATGAAGCACAACAAATTCTTTCAAGGCAAACTCCCTTGTACTCACCACTCAGGCAGAAGCCCTCTGCAGGCCCCCTTTCCTCCTCTACTGTTCATCACAATGCACGCTTCTACTGTAATCACACTTGAGTGTATAATTTTATTATCAAACGTGTTGCCCAAGCACTCGAGTCTAATGTGACTTCTGCATCCACTTGGTGGAGTTTACCCTGCACATGTCTTCCGTGCACTTGGGCCCCCAGCGCGGACACCTGGCACCAGGACCTCACAGGTGGCAGTGTGCGCGCCTGTGAGAAGCAATGATGCCTGCTTGTCTACTTTTGTGACATCAGCAGTCAATGATTCTCCCTGTCCAGGTCCACTAATGGGCTAGGGTGCTGACATTCTGAAAAACAGCATTCCTTCTTCATTCATTAGCTGAAATGCTTCTGTAAAGCTTCCTCTCATCTACAATATGGCCTGGTGGTGGCACGGCACAGAAAGGCAGGACAATGTGCCTCTCTTTCAATTACCCATTTTCCAAATGATTTGAGTTTCCTCTTATCCTTTAGTGGGGACCAACAGGTTCTACTGCTTGTAATAACACAGAGTTAAACAAACCATCACTGATGAGTTTTAACCTGCTGAGTCAGTTACTATTAACAGTGATGTGCAAATGGTCACTTCCTTGGCCACTGGATGCCTCTTTCTGCTGGCCCCTGAATACTTCTGACATGACCTTCTGGTAACTTCCTCTTCAGCTAGGGTGCAGCCTCATTTTCTAGAATTCTTACCCTGGACCTAGAATCAGTCATGTCTCCAAATTTGCTGGCTTCAAACAGTTTGTTAAGACAGATCAGCCCAACAGGTTGGTTACTGTCAAGATTATCTAGCAGTGGATGATTTCAGCAAACAGAAATTCCTCTCTTCATTTAGGAGGTTAGGCGCCAGCTCGAAGGAAGGGCTTTCTCTCCTGTCTGGTTCTGGAGGAAGGTACTTGTCTCATTTCAACGTCTGGGGGCCGAGAGTTCCTTGGAGACCTTCAAGGGCCTGGGGCACCAATCATTCCTCAGGTGAGGAGGTTCTCCTAGCAGGGTGGAGTCTGAAGAACGTGGGCCATCTTTGCTCCTTTCTCGGCAATGGGTCCCTTTTCTGCTTACCTCTCACTGCAGCCACTGCGTCAGTCTCCGCTACTGGAGCCTCCTGGTAACACGCATCAAGCAGGATTTAAGGAGCATTCTGTTTGCACTTCTTTTAAGATTGATTTGTTGGTTATTTGTCAACAGAGTAATTCACAAATACATATACACATGGTGCTGGTGGTGTAGTAGGTTAAGAGCTGGGCTGAGAACCAAAAGGTTGGCAGTTCAAACCCACTAACCACTCCATGGAAGAACAGCAATTACCCCTCATTAAGATCGACAGCCTCAAAAACTTGATGGGTCGCTACAGATTACAACTGACTTGCAGGAACGGGGTTAGTTTTTTTGGTTATACTTATGCAATATTGTCATAATTAAAGGGAACCCTGGTGGTGCACTGGTTAAGTGGTTGCTAACTGAAAGGATAGCCGCTGGAACCCACCAGTAACTTGCTGGGCTAAAGAAGCAGGGGTCTGCTCCCACAAAGATGCCCGTCTGTGGGACAGCGACTGGGCTTGGTGACTAGATCTAAAGATAAAAAGCCTCCTCAGGATATTTTAGAACTCCATGGCTTCTCGTTTACATTTATATTGTTTTTCTTCCAGGAGAATTCTAGATCTCCCAGGATACCAGGGGTGACAGAAGTAGAATATTACATAATTACTCATTTGCTTAATTCCAAATCACACTCTCACACAATCTTACACACATATACCATTCTCAGGATTATACTGACACTACCTTTTTGATTCATGAAAACAGCCACGTTTCATACCTGCCTCTTCCCTTTTTTATCTATTTTCTAAACAATTATACCGTATCTACATTAACAGAACTAGAGCCAATACATCCAATACCTACTCCCCTAAAGCTCATCTTTAGAGTTAGTCCTGTAAGTACTGAGGAATCTACGCTCACCACCAGTATTTAGGTCACTGACCCTGGATATTCTGGTGGTTTGAAGCTCATATTCTAACAAATTGCATAGGAAGGGTTCAAGAACTCCCTGGTTTTGCAAGCTGGTAAGTCAGCCTGTGGCTTTACACTTGGAAGTCAGTTTGGCTGGATATAAAAATGCCTGGCCGACAATTCCAAGTTACTCCTGCTCCCTCTGGGATACAGCACTGCTGTTGGAAAGCCAGATGATATCCTGATTTTCTTTCCCTTATGAATGATGTCATCTTTCTTGCTTGGATGTCCAAAGGACACTTCTTTATTGATCAAAAGTCTGTGTTTTTAGGAGACTGTGTCCAAGTTCTGGCCATTTGGGGTCATCTTTCTCAGGTAAAGCATATGGCCTTTTGATCTTTATTGTAGTATGTTTTTAAGACCCCTTGGAATCATATAAGCTGTTTTCAAGTATCCCAGGAATGGAAGATTAGCAAGTTAAGCAAAGTGACAGAATATCTTTCCCCTTTATACATTTTCCGATGAGTGAATACAAGCAAGGTCCTTTGTGAAAACCACTACCTCAACGTGACAGCCTTTTCTGTCATTTAAAAACAACTCTCTGGTTGAGGTGTCAGGTTAAAGAGTAAAATATGTATACTATATATTTCTTAACTGGCTGTAACAATCTATGTTTTTTTATTGGTTATCTATATTTAATCTCCTCCCCCCCCCAATTTGGTAGTAAGATTGTAATTTAACATTTTTTTTTGAATGGTGAATTTCCAGCTTTTTTACTTGAGTGTCATCTACCTGGTCACTAAAAAATAGGAATTTCAGATGATTAACTGTGCTCATGCAGAACCTAGTACAGAGACTCAGAAGCAATTACTTGAACAGATAGCATGGTATGTTGTTGTTGTTAGGTGCCGCTGAGTCGAGCATGACCCATAGAGACCTTATGAACAAAAGATCTGAACCCTGTTCTAGCCTGCGCCATCCTCACATTTTCTGACACTCAAGAGTCCACTGCAGCAGTCACCATGTCTGTCCACCTGGTCAAGGGTCTTCCTCTCCTTCGTCGACCCTCTACCCTTCCCAGCATCATGTCCCTCTCCATGGAATAGCCCCCTCCTAGCAACATGTTCAAAGTAGGTGAGGTGAAGCCTTGCCTCCAAAGAGCACTCTAGCTGCACCATTTCCAAAACACATCTGTTCATTCTCTTGACCGTCCATGGGATGTTCAGTGCTCTTCTCCAACATCACAGCTCAAAGGTATCAATTCTATTCCTGTCATCCTTATTCACTGTCCAGGTCTTGGGTGCACAGCTAGTAACTGGAAAGATTATGGCCTGAATCACATGCATCTTAGTCCTCAAACTGGCATCACTACTCCTCAATAGTTTGGTAAGGTCCCTAACTGCAGATTTTCCCAGTGCAATGTGTCTCCTTATTTCCTGACTGCTCAAACCAATGGTGTTAATTGTGGATCCAAACAAAATGACATAGAGTGGTTTAAAATCAGGAAAGCTGTGTTATCAGGGTTGTGTGTTTTCACTACAGCTCTTCAATCTGTCTTGTGAACAAATAATCTAAGAAGCTGGCCCAAGAGGAAGGAAGTGGTATCAGGATTAAAGACTCTTTAACAACATGAGATAGGCAGATGACATAACTTTGCCTGGTGAAAGCAAAAAGGATTTGAAGCATTTTCTGATGAAATCAAAGACTACAGTTTTCATTACAGACTACCTAAAACAAAACTACACTAAAACGAAAATTTTCACAGCTGAACATAATCTGTGAAAATAAACTGGAGAAAATACTGACATCAAAGATTTAATTCAATCCACAATCGATGCCTCTGGAAGCAGCAGTGCAGTCAAGAAATCAAATGATGCAGTTATTGGGCTGCAGAAGACTTCTTTAAAGGGTTAAATAGCAAAGAAGTCAATTAGAGATCTAAGGTGCACCTAATTCAAGCCATGACATTTTCCATCACTTCATACAGTTTTAAAAGATGAACAACTGATGCTTTTGACTTATGGTGCTGGTGAAAAATATGGACCATACCATGGACTGCCAGAAAAATGAAGACGTGTAGCCAGAGTGCTCCTCAGACACCCCAGACTTGGTTGTACGTACTTTGGACATATTATTATCAAGAAGGCCCAGCCCCTAACTCACTAAGCTTGATAAACAGAGGAAGGCCTCAACGAGACAGACTGACAACAGCCGCACCATTGGGCTCCAACACAGCGATGATTCTGAGTAAGAATGGTGCAGGATCAGGTAGTGCTGGGCTGTCCTGTGTATGGGGGTCACGAGCAAGTTGACCTGCCGTGACAGTTATTAGAACACTTTTCTGCTTCACAGAAACGTCTAACACTTCTGAATCACTCTGTTTGCTAAGGAGGCCTCCCTACATCATACCTGCTGTCTTTTTTTCTTACAAAATTTCTACTGTGATAAAAGTTAAAATTTGTGCTGTGCAATTCTTGGGAATTTAGTTTATATGTGATACAATTTTTACTTTCTTGCAGGTGGACACTCAGTCCCAGAACCCTGTATTTAATCTCCCTTTTCCCCCCTCAGAGTTGAAATATTAATTTTCATTCTAGGACATGCTTCTGAATTTCCCTTTGACAGTGATGAGGTGATTTTTAGTTAAACCCCACATTCTTTTGAATATAGTAGCTTTGCAGTACGTCTTAATACCAAGTGATTCCAGTTTCCCTATTGTGATTAAAAATTTTTGTTTCTTAGCTCTTCTTGAAAAAATATTTTTCTTTACATCTTTGAATCAACACTATCCAAATAAATCAACCCAATCCCTTTCCCCAGCCCTACAAAACCCCTGTACCGGCATTCGGCTTAAGCATTCATTTTAAGTCCTTCAATTTAAAGCTGTGCAAAGTCATATTTCATGCTCTTCAATAACTTTCTCTACTCTTCTAGGAAAGTCACTCCCAGGAAGCTGTTCCTTAGAAGGAAAACTACTACAAACAGCACGATTCACCAAATGGGGAAGGTGGATGGGGTTCATGGAGAGAATTGTTAGATAAACTTACACGGCACACAATTTCAACTTTACCAGTGGATCAGATTTCCAGAAGGAATGAGGGAGAAAAAAGGAGAGCAAGAGAAATGTTATCTTATATGACCTCAGTTTGGGGAAATAATGTTACCCCTGCCTCTATAATGTATCTTATATGAAAAAATACATCCCAGGCTGTTACCAAGAGCTCAGGGTTGGGGCAGGGAAGGTCTTACAAATGGAAGGAATCAGAGGAAGGAAGTAAAGGACTCTGAACCAGCTGTTTGCATTAACCCCGACTAACCCAGCATGTGTTCGACCACATGGAAAAGTACAAATGACAAGTAACTTTTTAGTCCTAAGACTGCACAATGCTATTAGATTTCACTTCAATTCATTTATAGATAAACTAAAATAGCAACAGAGAAACGACCTCTGTGTCTGAGCTTACCCCAGTCTTACAATAGAGACACATCTCCCCGCCGGCAGCTTTGTCAGGGGGGCTGTGGTACAAAACGCTGTTCTCCACCCCAGAAACATAGCAACCTAAACAGTCTCTATCTGTTGTTGAGCTGATTTTCCAATAAACCCCCTCTTATTTATTTTAGTAAGATTTTGCTGTGCTTCTGATGAAAGTCTCAACAGCAAATTAGACTCCCCCTTTGACAGCTTCTACACTGATGAATGACTGACGTTTTGCATTTTTCACATGTAATGTGTCAACATTCTCATTAATCGTGCTCTGGTTGTTTGATTTCGTTTCCCTACCCTCTTCACTTGGCATCTTTGCTGTGAATTAAATGCTGAGCTTTCCAGACTCACGCCTACTGCCCTTGCGTGAATTCTGAGTCATGGTGACCCTACAGTGTCCAGGACGGGGAATCTTTACCAGAAGACTCTGCTCATCTTTATTCCAAGGAGCAGCTGACAGATTCATTTTAGGCCTTTGGTTAGCAGCCCAAAAAAGGGGTTTGCTATTGCGTTGTTGTGTTTTGGTTTTTTTTTTTTTAAAAAAAAAAAGATATGAAAGAAAGCACACTCTAATGGGTTGTTGCGTGCTGAAGTCAGAACTGATCCAAGAGCTGACCCTCCAGCGTGGTGCCAGAGGCTGTAAAGGGCATGGGAGAAGAGGGGCCATCCTCTACCCTGGGGCAGCTGGTAAATCCCATTCAGTCAGCCACAGGCCTCCGGAGCTCCCTGACCTAATGGTAAAGAGCCTTTATTCTGTGTGTCATGACGCTTTTCTGTTAGGTGATGGATGACCTTTCCTTAGGAAGATGCTAACCTGGTTTTCTGACTAGATTTTTTCATCACGAGAAGGGTTTTCAAAACTTTCAGAGCAGAAAATCTTTTCTGCATTGATAAGCTAAGCAGGAAGCCAGGTCACCTGTCAAGAAACCTAGAAATTAGCCTTCAGTGCAGAAAAGATAACGCAGGAACAAGAAGCTACAAGGAAGAAGAGATAATAGGTGCTGGACAAAGAAGACACAATCAGGAGAGTCTGCCTGGAATGCTGCAGGCCTGGTGAACACTATCACCTGAGAGCCCCAGCAGCTAAAATGCTCACGGACATTTTTTACCAAAATTTCAAAATGAAGGGAAAAAAGAATCCATCACATTAAAACATGCCTGAGAATTTTAAAATTTGGTTTGTGTTCAGTCCTTCATATATTTTGCTTAGTAACATTAATTACAACTGATCAATGCTGTTTAGGGAGCTCTGGTGGGCTAGTGGTAAGGAACTATGCTGGCGACCTAAAGTTCAAATCCACCAATTTCTCTGCAGGAGAAAAATGGGCAATCAACGCCCATGTGATTTACTGCCTCTGAAAACCCCCTGCAGGGTCACATATGGTTGATGATACACAACAACAGCAAGGCTATTTTATTGTATCTTATCAAATTCTAACTCTATCAGCCTTTCCTTGCATCCTATCCATTCATTCACCCAACCCATTCACTGTTAATCAGATTGTCTGTTTTTTCCACATTGTCCTTCCCTTCACTTATTCCAATAAAGCAGTCACAGTCTAACCATTCATTTCCAATTCTCTCCCCAGCTCCTGTAACCATATTAGATTAAATCCCTCCATATGGAACCTTGTCTCTAGTTTTTTTTCTCTAACAGTGGTCTTACATACGACAGATGCATTTGGGGATGGTAGGTGAGGACAAACTAAAGGAAAACCATTGCCATCAAGTAGATCCCTCCGTGGAGAACTGTCCCGTAGGGTTTCTGAGGCTGTCAATCTTTTCTGAAGCAGACTACCTTGATTTCGACTGAGGAGCCCTTGGTAGTTCAAACCACTAAACTTTTGGTTAGCAGCCAAGGGCTAAACCACTACACCACTAGGGCTCTTACTGATATTAAAGGAAGCATAATTTATATGACCCAAATGTTCCTGAGGGACTTGACTGAGAGTAGAAATTATTAATCGTTTATTCTTTCCAAAAGGATTTTTTTTTGCAAAGTTCCTTTAAATATCAATCAACATTGTGTACTCACCTTTCAGACAAAAACTGTTAAAATGTGTAACATGGCAAGGCTCCTGAGATATTTTGAAACACATGTCCCAGGGTTCAAGGACATACAAAGTTAACATTAAAGCAAATGAACGCACAAATTCCTGCTAAAGCTGTGGCTTACCTTCCTTCCATATTCAGGATGCACACCAGTTCATCCTCAAAAAAGATTTCTGGTCCCTCAAGATTTTCAATGTCACTGAACCCATTACAAGGGACCTAAGAAGAAGACACAGACAAACAGGCCTCAATACTGAGATGACTCTGCTGCCACACACTAGCCTGAGGGACAAAGAAAGTGCTCTATTTACAGAGGGAAAAATCGCTGCCCTTCACTATACCGCACACCCACCACCCTGCGGAGGGAGAATGAGGAGCTGTTTGGCTCTTGGTTCCCTGGGAATGAACTATGTTCTCGTTGACTGAGATTTCGGAACATTGTTAACTCAAGAGTACTAAGGTGAGCTTTGAAATGGGAACTAGAAATACAAGTATTAAAAAAAAAAATCAAGGTAACTCTTTGCCATTCTCTACCCTGCGGACCAATGAGGTAAGAACAGGGCTTGGGGCAATTCTCGTAGTCCACTTCCTAAACTGAGCTGGTGTTGCAAATAATGTGTTTTAAGAGCCCCCTCAAGTTTAAAATTCTCTTACTTCTTCCACTTTCCCTTTGGAAGGTAGCCAAAAAATTTCAGCTCAACCTGGGTGCTTGCCGAGAACACGATGGTCCTGCGCCAGATTAGTCACCTATCCACAGTTCAATCTCCAGCACACTCTTGCTATGTTCAAGGCAAGGGCTTTATAGATAGTGAAGATGACAGATAGCCCATCACCCTCAAGGAAAGGCAAAGATGGCTTAAAAAGAGACGCAAAACCGGCCCAAGTAGAAGCTGTTGTTAATGCAAACTGGTGCATTAAACACATTTAGTGTCAAAACATGTATCAGTGAGCGCAAACCAATCAAAACCAGAATTTACATTTAGCCAGGTCAAAGGAGAACTAAACTTTGTCCACCCTAACTTGAAGAAACATTTATTTATAGCATAATTCTTAGAGTCTCTATTTATATTCTCCATGGGAGGAAGTTCAAATTTGCTCAAAGTCTAAGCTTTCCCCTTTTAAAGCAGGAAGTCTTTGAAATAGTTCAGATTTATGCACCCTATTAATTCGTAGTAGTGAAAACAGAAACAACAATAAAAACCCGAAGCACACAGAAAACAGGATCTGGGAAAGCAAGACAGTGGAATAAATCAAACTGACTGTAAAAAGACCTCAAAAGGAGAGGTCTTTTGTAATTGGTTTAGGGGAATGGACATTGCTATGGGCTGTTTTCCCAAGTTACAAAAAAGGTCTTCTGTGGGAGCGAATGATAGCCAAACTTTCACGAGGCATTTTTAGGGTAAGGGATAAAACCCACACATTTCTGGAATATTCAAAACAAATGCAGCAAAACAAACTTCCAAGGGATAATGAGTACAAGGCAGTTCTGCCCCGGGAGCCAAAGTTCTGATTTACACAGAACTTGCCCCCCCGCTACTCTCCTAAACACCGGGGTTCACAAAGAGCTAGATGCTGCGAAAGCCGGGGAGGAGAATCAGATTGATTTCTGTCAGCCCTTCTGGGAAAACAACTGGTGGCAATTTCGCTAGCATTCAATCCTTGGTGATCTTTCAAAATCAGGAATTGGCAAAGGCTGTGTAAGCCCCCTGAAGAGAAGAAGGAAAGCCGATCTGGAGCGGGCCCCCCACACTGTCATCTCCCCACCTCCGCCGTCCCCCCATTCTTCCTCTGACTTTAGAGAAGTGACGTTGGCAGGGGCTGATGACCTCATGCACACAATGACTCTTGCCATCCAGAGTAGGGCCTGGTGCGTGTTGAAAAGAGAAAGATAATAAAAGAAGAAGAAAAAAAAAAACAACCCAAAACTGGATGAGTGAACAGATGCAGACACAGACTCGAGAAGGCGCATGGACCCCCCCCCCCCCCCATCCTTACGTGCTCTGAAAAGAACCTCTTGGAAAAGGAGGCGACAATCTTCCGGGCTTCTAAGCCAGCTTTCTGTCGAACTTTATACTCCTCCAGCCAATTGACGTAGTCGGTGGGGCTGTAGTGTTTCATGAGGGAAGGCCATCTACGGGGACAGAAATACCCTCTTCAGTTTAGCAGAGCCGGGGCTGCAGAGGCAGGAGCATCAAAAGGCGGCCTTGGGGACACGGGATGGAGCCCTGGAGATGTCCCTGGGGCCATTCAGTGTGACCTTGGCCCGGCGACCCCAATGCTGTCCACTCCCCATGTATAAAATGGGGATGACAACAACAGCAATATTCCAGAAAGCAAGCAATGCCTGTCACCGTGCACCTTCCAAGAGCTGGGCCCCAAGCTGGTGTGTGCATGCAAACGTCTCGTAAACACAGTAAATCATCACTGTGCAAAAGTCAACGAATAAAGCTTACAAAAAAAAAAATATTAAAAAGGTGGGGGGGAAGTGGCCAGCACCCCCAAGGTCACCAGCGAGGAGGTGTCGGGGCCGAGATTCTGATCTCGGGGCGCAGCCCGCGATCTGTGCCCGGGACCAACAGCCCCGGGGGTCGCGGCGGAGCGGGGAGGACCGCGGGGCCCCTCGACCCGTGGAAACACTCTGGCACCGACTCGGGCACAAAAGCAGCGCGCAAAATGGATCAGCGGTGACACGGCCATCGTCATCCTTTCTGGATGCGCAATCCGGACCCCCCTCCCCCCCGGGGGACCGCTGCGGCGTGGCCCCGCGGGGCTGGCGGCCCGGAGGCCTTTGTTTGTCCGTCCG